GGCGGGGCGGGGCCGCCCTTGCGGGAGGCAGATCTTATGATGATGCAGGAGCTGTCACCGGGAGTGTCGACCATCTGCATGCTTCAAATAGTCAGATTTGACTTGTTCACACAATCCCGAGTGAAGGCGGACAAAAGTGAGAAGTAGGGCGAGGCGTGCTGCCACGTCCGATGGCTCGCGAGTCCGCTGGGACTGGCCGGCTAGGGACCTGCGGTGTGCCCCGAAGTTTACTCTGTCGTATGGTCGCAAGGCCGTCGTCTCCACGACGTGGATCAGTAACGCCCTGCCCGTGCTGGCCCTTAGGGGCTGACGCGGGACTTGGTCACGCAGGTCTTGCAGCCCGGCCAGACGGGGATGTGGTTCGGGCCGAGACTAGGGCGGCGCCGCCGCCGTGACGTCGCCGCTGCCATGCCCTCCGCGACCTCGGCCACGGCGTCCAGCGGACGCCGCAAGCGTTCGGTGCAGATGTCCCAGGACGGCGACGTGGACAACGACATCCCCTGGAAGCTTGCCGAGTTGCTGCGGGAGCTGCAAGGGGCGAAGCGCTCGCCGACACCATGCGACTCCTCCGACATCAACTGCCTCCTGTCCAACATTGCTAACGGCGGCTCGAACTACGGTATGAGATGACGGGACCTATCTATACTCTATACCTAACGTAAAAACCTGATTGATAAAAAAAGCCCGATTTCCACTTTATCCCGCAGCTCCGTCAGAGCAGGAGCAGCGCTCTCGCTCTGAGGGCAACCTCGTGAACTTCACCCCTCGCCTGGGCCGGGAGAGTGGCGAGCAGCCCGAGGACCTCGAGGGCTCGATGGGAGGCGCGGCCACATCGCGACAGCTGCGCACGGACAGCGAGCCTACCTGGGGGTAAGTGGTGTCGGGGTGGCGGGTCTGGGGACGCGGTCTCCGATAGCATTTTACTGAACTGGTGCTGACCCGCGACAGGTTCTCGCCACGTTTGGGCCGTCGCCTGCTGCCACCGGGCACCGTGGACGTGCACGCCCCGGCTGGAGTCCCACCCTCCCCGGCCAGCCTACAACCCTTGTTGGCCCTCCAGCGGTCCAGGGGTGGACGCTCCGCGCGGTCCGCGCCGACGGACAAGGGAACAGGGAGCCAAGGACAAGCTCAGGTGTAGTCGATAAACTGCATTAAGGAATGAAGGTGGAAAAATGAGAAAGAAACAAACAAAACAATTGGCCGTGAAGATGGTATGAGACCAAGTGGAATTACGCTACATGTTTTCAACTTTAGATCATAGAGTGTGGAACAAGATTGACTTTGGCTGGATAAATCTCTGTTCTCCATTTTAATAAAATCATCATTATTCACTCATTTTTTTCTGATATGTAGCACTTGCTTAAAATGTGTGATAGTCCTTATTGCATTGACCTGAATTTAACTAAATTGATTAACACATTGTGCCTGACATGACTTTCTTATGGTCATGCTTTGCTGTAAAACGCCACCCCTTTAATTACCTGCCAGACTCAATGTGTTAACAATAATTGTAGGGTAAAAGTCCTCAGGATGGATTTTAGTGCCTCAAATTTTGGAACACCTTAGGAGTACTTTTATGCATGTGATAGTATGTTATTTATTTTGTGACGACTTCAGGTAAGGGAATGACAGGAAACATGATTTTATCTGAAATTTGTGGCACAAACTGGGTCCTCCATTCTTAGGATATTTTCTTTCACTCGATTTATTTTCCCAAAAGAGTAAAATTAACTTTTGTATTTGTTAACCATCGTTATGTTAGCGAAACTAAGAGAAAAATAAAAGGAGCATCACACTATAACCCTTTCATTCAAATAAACTACCTGGAAGTAGTAAGTGTTGTCACAAGGAAAGCAAAAAAACATTATTCATAACTAATTCATACTGTTTTATTCCTCAAAAATGAGTACAATAAGACAAATCAGAAAACATCACATGAATAGTTCTCCTCTAATCAGCACAAATACATCAATATAAAATCAAAATCAAACAACAAATGTATAAATCATGTCTATTAGCCTACATCACATCACATACTCTATTACATAAGAATCTTTGGTTTTTAAATAACACATATGGACCCATAAAATGAGATGTAACAAATTTTTTTTAAAAAGAGATGTTTCACACACTACGAGTACATTATGGAGAGTCAATGAATGGATCTCATAGAACTGGAAGAACAACAAAGTTGTAAATTTTAATATAATACAAAAAAAGGAGTCCACCAACCTGCATAACAATTCCTCACAAATAAAAGTAAAATTGGCACAAATATATGTCTATCTACTGCAGTAAGATAGTAATTACTAAGTCGAGATTTAGAGGAGAAAAACAAGACTATCGTTGGTGGTCAAAATATGTGGCATTGTATACAAGAATCTTTTTACAATAATGGCTTTAAAAATCAGCAAATCTGCTGATATCCCAAAATGAGTGGGTAAAAAAATGTATGTTACAGATCTGTAACATATCCCTCAAGGGCTTTTACAAGCCCTTACAAACACTTGATTTTTCAGGAAGCTTTGTAGAACATGTAGTATCTACAGGATAGAAGTAGAAGAATCGAAACAAAGTACCAAATAAAAGTCATTCCTCAACAAGCTATGTTAAAACATTCTAAATTTGTGAATTTTTCAGCTATTTAGATGAATAGATGCCCTAGACACACAACTTGGTTTCTATTTCACAAATTATCACCAGTCAATATTGTTTTATATATATTAACTCCACACTCGTGAGTGTAAAATCACATGTATTTTGAAAGATCATTTAAAATCGAGCATCATCTTACTAAGTAGATACGGAGGTATTAGTTTAAGTTCTTAAAATTCATTATAGAAACAATAATAACCAAATGTTTAAATCATGTGAGATTCAAATTTTGGTTAACATTGTGTACTGCTCTGGGAAAGCTAGCTGCTACATGCTATAGGCACAAAAGGTGAATATTGCTTTAGTCTTCATTAATTTTTCACCTTTGATTTCAGGCAAGTAAAAGTGTTATGATCCACCTAATGCTAAATGTTTGAGCGTATGTGAGCAAAACTTGACACAATAATAGATAACTTAATCATAGCTGCACACTGAGCATGGCAGTAATGTAACAACAAAAAATGCTTCCACTTTAAAAAAAAATGGAGAGTGGCACAAAGTCGTAAGAGTAAATGAAAAAAACAAAACAAAAAACCATGATGCGATTGATTGTTGTGAGATTTGAAAACAGCCATAATGCTAAAAAACAATAACAGTAAAAGCAAATGAGATGAATATAACTGGATTCAAGAACAGAAACTCTGTAAACTTTTAGGTGTCAAAACAATTAATTCCTTCAGATTTAGATAAATATTTTTGACTGATCATATGTACACTAAAAAGTTGTTTACTTCAATGTACAAAAAATTAAATAATAAGCTTAGTTTTAACCCTAGCCTGAGATTTTTTTCTTGCTTAATTATGACACAGTTGTTTCATATGTTGCTTTTTTTAGGGCAAATCCGTCCCTAAAGGGCTTTCATAGCAGAAAATACCAAGGCACACTTTTAGGCAGGTGGGGTTCATGGTGTTTCTGAGTATTTCGTCCCTCCAGATTGGCACATAATAATAATTTAAGAACTAAGGGAAAGTCCAAGCCTTGCAAGGCACATTTCCTTACGTAATCTTGCAATTTCCCAGTACACATCATGAACTGCAAAAGAAAACAAAACAAACCATAAGTCTTTCAAATAAACTATTTGTAGTATCAAAGTACAAATATGAACGATTATCTGTGAGGATTACCTGAACTTTTAACAAGGCCCCGTTCAATGTATTTTAAGTAATTCAAAAAGTCAATCACAGCTGTGATCTGTAAAATAAAATCAAAATACCAGTTAATTTAGTAAATGGAAAAGAAAAAACACAACAAGAGACACTGAAGAGAAGGTAGATTATGACTCAACACATACCCTATTTCTGCATATTTGTGATATACTGTGCCATGAATCTTGATCACCAAGCTTCATTCTGTAATGACATTGACGTGGCACCTCAAGTAAGGCACATTTCCTAGTAAGATAAAAGAAGAGGTTCACAATCAAAATACTGGTACTAATTTCAAGATTCTTAATAGATTGTGATGAAATAGAGATAAGTACTTAGGGAAAGCAGTTTTGGTTCGGTCCCCAACAGCTTCAATGAATATATTTCCACTTTCAACAGCTCGCCCAACACGTTCAGCAAGTTCATGATTGTTGAAGTCAAGGCACAAGTCTATATCTTCCCTGTACACTCGTGCAACAAATGGGGTGCTCTTGTCCATGGTTGGACACTGCCTCCAAACTAAAAATTCTCGGTGCACATTTGGATCAACCTAAAAGCAATAATATTGTGATGTAACACCTTTCAAACCTCTCAAATTTTCTAAACGTAACAAAAAGTGTTATCTTATTACCTCAATGCCATCTTTTGGTTCAACCTGATCCAGAGGAACAGGCGGAACACATGTTCCAGCTGGAGCACTTTGTGAGTGGTTCTCCTTTACAGGAGAGTCAGGTGGAGAGTTCTCTCTTCCATATTTAAGGTTGAAATGTGAAGGCGACCGCCGATGCTTACGGAAAAGTCCACCACCACCGCCTGGAACAACAAAGGTTTTGTTATTTGCATCATTCTTATTTTCTTTATAGTGCCAGGACACAGCAGCGAGGAGCACTTACTGTCGTCGCACGACTTGGTCTTGTCTATCTGAGGGTGGAGATGAGGGTTGGGCATCGCTGGTGTCGAGGTGAGCACGAGGGTCTTGAGGGCCGACACCTCCGCCGTCAGCACTTCCACCTGCATGCGGGCCTCGGCCAGGCTGCGCTCCGCTGCCGCCTGCCTCGTGTTGGCGTCCCGCACCATGTTGTGGGCCTCCTGCAGAGGAAAGGCGATAAGAAGAATCAGCTCAGGAAAATTTTGACAGGCGCCGTTGAAAGTACGAGCACGAGACGTAAAACGGAAATCCAAAACAATGGGAATAGGGCTGTTGGACCGCTGCCATCAGGGCGCTAGGTCACGGAGGTGAGGAAGTTGGGGCGGGGGGCAGGGAGGGAGTCTAGGGCTGGCCTGGGGCAGGCCTAGGGCAGGCCTAGGGCAGGCCTAGGGCAGGCCTAAGGGCTAGGCCACGGCCGCCCGGGGTGGGCACGCCGCCAAGCTAGAGGAAGGGACGGTCCGACGCGACGCGGTCAACCGCGGTCTGGCTTTCACAGCCCGCCGTTGTTATAAACCCATGTTGAAGTTGGAGTCGCCGCGACTAGACTAGGCTACTCGGGAGGGGCGTTGCATCGCATGGGATGGGGACGACGACGTTTATCATCAAGCCTCTGTCTGCTCAAGACCCGCCCGACTTGCGTGATCTCCGGCAGGCAACGGCGGCCGCACACCGCAGCACGACACAGGAAGAAGGCACGCCACGACTGCTTGAGCGTTCATGTCGCGCGGATGCCGAGGGAATGAGAGAGAAGAAGAGTCCTGCAGCATCCGACTGCGGGGATAGGGCGGGAGGGCCGGGGAAGACAAGAGGAGACACGCAAGAACTGGGCTAAACTACGAGAGCAACGAAGTACGCAATTAAAATGTGTAAAAAAATTAGTTGAACCCACCTGGAAGAGGCTGGCCGTGAGTTCCTCGAGCTCCGCCTCCACCTGCTCGCGGATCCTGGACAGGCGCGTGACTTCTTCGTCGCGCAGCCTCAACTCCTGGTGCGCGCTGCGAAGCTCCTCCTGCAGCCGGGAGAAGGCCTGCTCCTTGGCCTCGGCCACGGTGCGGTTCCAGCCGGCACTCAGCTCGGCCCCGGCCTCGGCCCCGACCACCTGTCAACGTCAAGAAAAGGCGTCCGTCCGTGAGTGGGGGACGAATTCCCACGAGTGATGTCTCTCGCGGCGGAGAGAGAGAGAGAAAAAGCAATGCGACACTTTACCCAAGCGTGTAGCGGGTGAGAGTGGAAGACATCTCTTTTTAGCAGATGATACCTTACAAACCTTACTTAACTGAGACTTAACATAAGTAAACATAAGAATATTTAAGTAAGGTGTCATTGCTTTTACTCTCGGTAAGAACAGAGAAGCGAGAGCAGGGCCAGCAATCTTAAATATTGTGCTAGGGGGGATAGTGAGGCTGAGGCTGAGGCTGAGGCAGTGAGGCTCGATTCCCGTCGCCGCACGCCCGAGCCGAGCGGGCCGCGCCAACCCCCACCCCCACCCGCTCCCTCCGCTGGAGCCCCCGCTTGTAAACTAAACACAGGGAGGACGCCGGATTGTAAACAGGCCGTAAAAC